TCTATTACGATAAATTCGTAAGATCTGATCATTTAACTATTAAAGAACAAATAATAATTTTCGTTGTAATTTCAGTGAAATGACAGTAGAGAAAATATTAATGATGTGTATTCATAGAGCTTGTAGAATACGCGTGACTGAGGAACTAATACGTGTTGCTACCAAATGGACCCTATCGTTTTTTTTGAAGTTTCGAAAGAATTGCTGTCATTTCTTAACGCGTCAGCCCACACTCCTAGCGTACAGCACGTAGATGTGACGGAATCTCGAACTAATACAGATAAGGTTGACGTTCAAAAATTTGTTAATCAGCTGATTTTGCATGACTCGTTTAAATAGTGATCTGACACTATAACATTATGTACTGCTTTCAAAGGCAAAAGCATAAACTGATCTAACGCACAGGAAATCGGATTAGAATATATAAACAAAATAATTGGTAGAAATATGAAAAATGTTACATTTTCGCATAAAACAAATGTAAAGAATCTTGGCTCTTCAAATATCTCAAAATGTAAACATAAAAATTTGAAATAGTTGCTCAAATTTTTTAACGATTTTAACAATTGCATTAACTATATACAGTGAAAATGATTCGATCGAATACCTGCAATATGAATTATATAACTACCCACTATCTTTGTGTGACAACACCGAAATGAGAAAAACGACTAAATCAAAACTATATAATTATTTTCCACCAGCTCAATTTATTCCAGAAATGAGAAGTAGCATTACTTTTTTTGACGATGGTTTTTTATTGCACGTGTTAGTATGGCATGAGAAAAAAACGTATGCCGAAATCTTATGCCAGTAATAACAATATGTAAAGAAACTTTATACAAGTCGATCTATTGTAATATTTAAATATCCTCAAACTTTTTTAGTCAGTCAGTTAATGAAGAAATAAACCATTTTTTATCTAGTAAAATTTTGATTGAGCAGGTAATACCATGGAACCATCGAACTTGTAATCAAGAATCAAGACATAAATTTGATCTCATTCATTTAATACAATCCACCGTTTTTGTGTGTGCGTTAACTATGTTGAGGATATTAAAATATTACAATAGATCGACTTGTATAAAGTTTCTTTACATATTGTTAATACTGGCATAAGATTTCGGCATATGTTTTTTTCTCATGCCATACTAACACGTGCAATAAAAAACCATCGTCAAAAAAATTAATGCTACTTTTCATTTCTGGAATAAATTGAACTAGTGGAAAATAATTATATAGTTTTGATTTAGTCGCTTTCCTCATTTCGGTGTTGTCACACAAAGATAGTGGGTAGTTATATAATTCATATTGCAGGTATTCGATCGAATCATTTTCACTGTATATAGTTAATGCAATTGTTAAAATCGTTAAAAAATTTGAGCAACTATTTCAAATTTTTATGTTTACATTTTGAGATATTTGAAGAGCCAAGATTCTTTACATTTGTTTTATGCGAAAATGTAACATTTTTCATATTTCTACCAATTATTTTGTTTATATATTCTAATCCGATTTCCTGTGCGTTAGATCAGTTTATGCTTTTGCCTTTGAAAGCAGTACATAATGTTATAGTGTCAGATCACTATTTAAACGAGTCATGCAAAATCAGCTGATTAACAAATTTTTGAACGTCAACCTTATCTGTATTAGTTCGAGATTCCGTCACATCTACGTGCTGTACGCTAGGAGTGTGGGCTGACGCGTTAAGAAATGACAGCAATTCTTTCGAAACTTCAAAAAAAACGATAGGGTCCATTTGGTAGCAACACGTATTAGTTCCTCAGTCACGCGTATTCTACAAGCTCTATGAATACACATCATTAATATTTTCTCTACTGTCATTTCACTGAAATTACAACGAAAATTATTATTTGTTCTTTAATAGTTAAATGATCAGATCTTACGAATTTATCGTAATAGGATACTATTAAAACGTTCCTTATGTTGAACATGTGTCGCAAGTATGACTGACTACATTTTGCATAAAAGAAATATCTACAACTACGAAAAAGAAATTTACATTTTCTGAACAGTTTGCAAGTGCGATTTCCAATTGCCACTCCTTTCAGTCTTCAACAACTGCATCAAGACAGCGGTCGTGTAAAAATATTCAATTCATAATTTTCCCGTTGGTTGACTTTATGATAAAGCATCTAACCAAGCATTAAATTTTAAAATTGAAGCATTTTATCTAAATCTGAATCCTCTTGCAAATAAATTATAGTTTAGAAACATAATTTCATCATGGAAGCAATTGTACAGGTTCTCTTAAGCTTTATAAAACAATATATAAATGTATAAAATTTATTGGGTAGTTAATAAATAAATAAACACTTAATTTTTCTTTAATTTTATTTAAATAACATACAATTTTAATCTTACAATCAAAATGTATTAGGTTACTAAATGCCGGGAAAAGTAGGTCTGACCAGAAATGTATTGGATTAAAAAATCGAAGAATATGGGCTTATTTACAATAAAAGTATGAAGGATTTCCATTAAGTTACAATGTACATGTTAGGCTAAGAAAATAATAAGTAATGTTGAAAGGTATGGGGCAAGGTATGGGGTTACATATTCCTTAAAATCGTGCGAGCGAGCAGTGTGGAGCAAACTTAGAAAGTATTGGGTTGAAACATAAGCGAAATAAAGCAAATTCTTTCTTATTTTGCGGGGCAAATATCGTGGGGGAAGGACGGAATCCGCCCTACTAAGAGAACTATATAATATGGGGATGTATGTATATTTATTGCACGAGACTAGGATAAACAGTCGATAAACGGAAACATCAACTTTTACTTATCTACCGTAGACATACCAGTATTGTGTGTTTTTCATACATATAACTATAAAGTTTTGCAGTGTACGTCAGGCATTACTTAGTTAAATGCATTTTAGGTACCTAAAACATTAAAAGATACGGCTCTTGAAATACATAAATTTCAGTTAAAATTAACCTAAAAATTTTCCTTATTCGCTATGCACCTATGTCAGGTGGCGCCGTCGAATGAGAGAAATTGCCCCCTGCCAAGATTGCCAGAATGCATGGTTGGAATGCACTCTTATGGTTTGTAATCACTTATAACAGCATCACTAAATGATTATTAATAGTGGAAGGTTAGCGAACGGTGCTTGTAGGTGAGCACAACTCCACTAATATTTGTGTTTTACTCTCTCTCTCTCTCTCTCTCTCTCTCTCTCTCTCTCTCTCTCTCTCTCTCTCTCTCGCTTAACAGCTATCTTTCTTCAAAGTACACTGTACCAACATCATGATTTTCAGTGATAAGTAATATTTCCAGCCAGTAGTTAAAAATATAACAACAGTGTTAAAGTACAAAAAATTTTGGGAGACTTAAAAACTAAGTTTTTCAAACAGATTTGTTCATAACTACTTAGTAGAATAACACTTATTAATTTATGTAAGCTTACGGGCTCATTAAAATTCCTTTTATATTCCGGCAGATCATAAGGATAGTAAGGATCTCGTACAGCTACTCCTTTAAATGGTAGTTTAGGGTAGTCTCCAATACCGTAATATTCATCTTCAGAGTGTAGTTTATATTCTTTTGGATGTAAATTATATTTTTTTGCAGCAGCATAACGTTCTTCAAGAGTTTTAGGCACTGATTCAGCCACATAATCTCTTATCCAGTCTGTAAAATAAATGATATTTTTAATGCAAACGTCAATTCACACAACCACGACATCCTCACATCTTTGAAAGACAAGTTAGAGTTTGGTAAAATTGAACGGAATACTTAAATAACTAAATTTAATCAACAAAGTAGAATCAATGTCAAGCTTTGAGTACAAAACCTTCTCTATACTTTTCATTGAAAACCTAACTTTTATTTCGAAAGCCTTAGCTTTTAAACGCCAAGTGAATGTATGGTATGTGTTATCTTTTAAACGTTATTTATTATCGAATATTATTAGATTTTCGTTGTTGTAGCCTTATATAAAAATCTTAACTATAAAATTCAAATTTTTATTTTATATGTAAATGATAGAAGTTTTCATTAGTTGAGGAAAAAATTTCGCTAAACTACCTTCATAATCTTAAATTTATTAAGAATTGCATCAAGTAGTTATGAAATCATGTCCTCAATTTTTTTAGGCAAGAAATTAAAAAAATAATTGTACAGTTTTTGTAATTTTTTTACTTCTATTTATCTATTACCTCAAAGCGGTTCAGTACTGGCTCACTGAGGACTGGGCACGAATGTTTGGCTTAGGCTAAGTAGCAGTACAAATATCCGGTAAACAGAGAGTATGGTGACCTGAGTAAGTGATACTATGCTGTACATGTATATTTATTTTTAGAAAGACATTGCAACAAATGTTTGACCTGAAAACATTCGAGTACAAGTAACACAAATAGAATTAAAGTTAGAGTTATTAATTAACTACTAAATTTGGTTTAATCTAGTACGCGAGAACGTAGTTTTAGCCACAGATGTTACAAAAGTAAAGCTCATAATAATACAAGAAGTAGAAATGTAGAATAAAGTATTTAAAATCCATAAAATGGTTTTAAGTAAGTACTGTAACAAATAACCAGTAGACATGACGCACAATGTAAGTAAATGCAAGTAAATCGTAAAAAATTCAAAAATATATAGAAGGAAAAATTAAATAATTAACATATTAATGTGTACATGTACAATAGAATGGTCGTTAATTTTTTTTTTTTTTTTTTTTTTTTTTTTTTTTTTTTCNTTTTAAACCAGTAAGAGTAAGATTCAGTTTGAGGCACCCAAAAACTCAAGCGGAGGCCTTAAACAGGATGATCCGATCTTTTTCTCTTGTGCCTTAGAGCACTCAAACTTTTTTTAGAATTTTCATGTTAAAATACGTTGAAACATTTTACTTTATTTAAAAGTTTTTAAAACTAATGAAATTTTTTTTCAACATATTTTCATGTGTTTTTGTAAGCTGAAACAAGTGATACTATTAGTTTTTACCTAAAATAATAACAAAAAAAGGAATGAGAAAAAATTGACACATAACTGAAAGTACGAGAAAAACAAATAAGCAAACATGTCCTTATATATAATAATAATACTAGAAACTACTTTTAATAATAAAGATGGTACTTCAATAAAATCCTTCAATTCAAGATGGTTTTTACGTGCTTCAAAAAAATGAGTTTGTAATCCAAACTCAATGTAACTAGTTTTTCACGTAAGTGATTCCTTAATCAGTTTTCGAAAAAAGGATTCTGATGAATATCATAGAATTATAAGAAATTACATTGAAATATGACTATATTTCTTGTTCAAAAACAATTACATTGTAAATAAAGTTTACTACATTTTTAACAATTTCAACAATATATTGAGGTTTTAAAAAAAAAATGAAAATTATCCAACTCTGTACTGTTTTGCGAGTCTTAAGGCTAACAACATGTAAAACTTCTAGATTATAAACATGATCGCAGACATGCATGTCACGTTTATCACAACCTAATTTTTTTACATATTAATCAGTGACGTAGGCATACACTAATATTAATGTAGAGAAAGGTCTAAAGCGGGTTAGTTAACGTTCAAAGCCTAGAAAATTCGGTACTTTAAGGATGATTATGATCAATTCTTTTTTTTTAGATATAGGATACATATAATCCTGAAATAAATAAGCAATATTGGGTCATTGTCTATTAATTTCTGATCTGCTATCAAAATTAAAGAGACACTTCAAAAAATGCTTTGCCTGAGGGGGAGAGGTTGAAGCAGATTATCAATTCGGGCAAAGTGGTAGGCACTACAATAAAGAGAAATTTACATTGTTTAATAATTTAATTGGTGATTCCAGTACAATTTAAAGAGGTTCTAGCACCTTAGTATCGCCCCATGAGAAATATATCATTAAATAGTTCAGATTATGCTGACTCTTAGAATATCCTTTTTTATGTCCTTAATCGGACAAAATCTTGAAAAGTTCGTGCTTGACGTTCACTCTTTTAACTATAGTGCTAATGGTAGGTATACAAAGACTAATGATTTGCAACTCGAATCGAAAGTGTCAGGTATTATCAGTACCCTAGCCTATGGTTTTCTTTCAGCAGTGGTGCCGATTATCAATTTTTTTTGGGCTAATTAAAGCTCCAAGATGCAGGTTGGTATCCTTACTCACTGGAACCTCTTTAATACTTTTCAACAGCTCAAGAGACACGTACGTTAAAATATAGCGATGTTTAAATTAAAACGATTATTGAATCGATAATTCGAAAATTTGACACTAATGAACAATGTTTTAAAAATTTCTAAAGAGAAGGTCTTATTTGTAACATAAGTCGCTCTGTTTCATATTTGTATTTACCAACGATCGAAAAAATTTTTTTTTAAATGAGAAACAAATGATATCAGTGTAAATCGAACACCTACTGAACAATTCGCTTTGCTCAAGTACACACTTTTTAATTAAGTTATGATAACCTCAAAAAGTTCAAAACAAAGCGCCAATATTTTCAGCTTGATTCAAACTTTAATGAGTTCAAATCGATAGAAAATTATCAACGATACAATAAGTGTATCTGTTTTTGACTGATCACAAAATACATACCTCTAATTTTTTTTATTAAATTATTGATTTTGTGAGAATTGCGTGTAATTATACCATACCACTGTTTAAAGGCTCGTTTGGAACTGAGAGAAACTCAGAGGTACTCGGATAAACTCGATATACACACACCTTACCTTTCGCGCCTCATGCGCCAGCACACAAGCGTCTACCCACTTTAGGCCACCGACCCAATAGGCTACCTTCCCCTACTTAATGCTTCAAGAAAAGATACGCTCGTAGAATTTTGCACGAAAAATAATATTACCTCTTAAGTTGGTACAACTACTTAACTGAAATAAATGTGTTCTGATCTAAACCCACTGTCAACGCCCTCTTGCACGAACTACTCAAGAGATGCAGTGAGTCAGCTAAAATAAAAAATTAGTTGGATCAGTTTATAATTTTCAGAAAAATCATTTATAATGTGCTTGATACAACTTGAATTCTGTAAGGAACTCATGATAGGATCTTGGGATAAGCGAATATCAAACAGTTGTGTGGTGCGAAAGTGTAACGTGGCATGAGCATGTTACTTTTAAAAGATCGAATCTTTCCATGTATAGATGTAATTTATTTTCATATTAATTCAGTTATAATAATTAAAATAAATTACTTACGGGATAACAGCGTTATTTTTAATAAGATTATATTGGTAAAAAAGACTGTGACGCTGTACATGTATATTTATTTTTAGAAAGACATTGCAACAAATGTTTGACCTGAAAACATTCGAGTACAAGTAACACAAATAGAATTAAAGTTAGAGTTATTAATTAACTACTAAATTTGGTTTAATCTAGTACGCGAGAACGTAGTTTTAGCCACAGATGTTACAAAAGTAAAGCTCATAATAATACAAGAAGTAGAAATGTAGAATAAAGTATTTAAAATCCATAAAATGGTTTTAAGTAAGTACTGTAACAAATAACCAGTAGACATGACGCACAATGTAAGTAAATGCAAGTAAATCGTAAAAAATTCAAAAATATATAGAAGGAAAAATTAAATAATTAACATATTAATGTGTACATGTACAATAGAATGGTCGTTAATTTTTTTTTTTTTTTTTTTTTNTGGGGCACACCTCTGTAACATGTGAGATTTTACTAAAAAAGGATCAGTATTTAATCTATACGAAGCTTTATCGTCTGAGAAATAACAGCTACATCTAGAAACTAGAGAAAATCTCACGCTTTCAGCGCGATGGCTCAGCGCGAATCAGAATGCTTATTTTCCATCTACGTGTCGATAGGTCTTGAACCTCTAAGTCCCTGGAGTACCACATGACTATTTAAAAAAAAGCAAGAAAATTCCGCGCATCGAGCTAGTTCATTTATCAAAAATTTTCTTAATCTAGAGCTTACATTACCTAATTTCAAAACATAACTATTCTTATGCCCTCCAACATCATAAGCACTAAAAATTCAAGTAGGCGGAAAGGTCCAACATGGTGAGAGTAATTGACTAGCAGAAGCCGCAATTTTTATTTTTGTTTCCTTTTTTTTTTTTTTCTTAACGGAAAAAAATTTACAAAATTTTGAAACTCCTTTAAGGTAAAGAAAGTGTAAAAAAAAGAAGCTTATTTCACGCTATTAGTTAGTCAAATTTAATGCATATTGTCAAACTTTATCGTCTAAAAAGGGATTAGTATTTAATCCATAAAAAGTTCTATCGATAAAATATCTCTTTCTGCCAGTAAGTATCGGCGACTAAAAATCCAACTGTTTATTAGTAGATTCATCAATTAAATAATCTTACAAGCAAGTAAGCATTGGCATTAAAAAATCAAATAGGTATTCAGTAGATTTATTATTAATATATGCCTATAGGCAGATGAGCATCGACGATAAGAAAAAACCCAACAGATTTTTAATGATTTTTTAAATAAAATAATCTCTTTGACGAGTAACCATCGGCGATTAGAATCCTAACAGTTCTTAAGTACATTTATCAATAAAATAATGTCTTAGGCAAGTAAGCATCGGTAATAATAAACTTAAGAGTTTATCAATGAAATTTATTTTTTAAATGATAATTATTGTGAGGTGGCAAATTGGATGTACATCCAAACACGTCACGGAATCCTTGT